ATGCAGCACTTAGTCGCGTTTATCTTTATCACCATTATCATCAGATGTTCAATGATGACAACACATGGCTTAGAACAATGTCAAGTCCAGTCAGTATCAATATACGGTTATTACCTGACTGGTCACGTTATTTATACAAAAACGTGTGCAAGTCTCTCTGAATGCGTGATTTTGTGTTCGTATGAGTTCCGTTGCAAGAGTTTCAATTTTCGGTTAATGGATAAGTTATGTGAATTGAACGATGCGGACAGATTTACTCACCCAGTGGATTATGTGCCGATGGAAGGATTTCTGTATAAGGACACTACCGAAAGGCATAGAAAGGTCAGTTGTCATTTGGCTAATGTACGGGACTGTGCAATAATTACCTGGAGGGGGGGTGGGGAATGGAAAATTAGAAGAGGGGGCATAGGAGAAAATGACAACGAGAGAGAGGTGTGGTTGGATGTAAAATTTAATACATAGGGGGGGTACTACTTTTTCATTCCTTTTTGCAAACTGGAAAAGTAGTGGAGGAGTAATTAGAGTTCAAATATAAATACTAACATTGGAATAAAACTGACAAACTTATCAACTCTAAGGCGTTCTGATCTATGAACTGTTGTTTTCTGTTTTCCTATCTGTCATGCAGTAAGAAAGGAATGCCTCTCTGTTATATATGTTAAAACGGTGCTACTTTATTTGTACTAGGATTTAATAAAACAGGAAACTTCAATTAAAATTAAGCTGCAAAAGTAGCCGACTATAATGTTATTCAATGAAAAAGAAAGATGCCAACGTCAGCGCACATAGCATCATAATTTAGCAGAATGAAAAACCCAACTGTTGAAATTTTAATAGCAATACAAATTTAAAGTATGGTAAATAAAACACAGTATGATTGAGTTGAGCTTTAAAAAAAAGCTCAATCAGACGGGAATTCCTGAGTTCTCAACCACGCACGCGGAAACCTTAGTGCCAGAGATGCTATGGAAGATGAGGAATGTCCCAATTCATGCGAAGACGACACAAGCTCAGAGTCCAGTGATTCTGATGACTCTTCAAATGACTCTTCGACATACGTCGAAGAATCATTTGAAGTGATGTTTGTACCGGAGGAAGAAATCCACGAAGTAAACTAGGGGAGTGGGGGGTGGGTGGGGGTTGGGGATGTTAGCCTTACTGTTATCATTATGTGAGGGGAGGGGGGTTGAAATTAATTTTTGGTTAATGAGACGGGGGTATGACTTAGTTTTGGGGGCATATTTCACCCATTTCCAAGCCCCCGCTACAGGTAATTATTACACGGTCCCTTAATCCTTTATATTTGGGAATAATTTGTCAGAAATATTATATAATTGTATGGTTTTGCGTAACCAAGATGTCCGCTTTATCATTACATGAAGGTCAGACGCATCAAAAATTAAAATCAAAAACTAAACATTTCGTCTCTTTCAAGAACCATCTTTGATTTTTGTAGTGCATGGTTGCACTGAACATTTAGATACTGGACGCGGTTCGTGAGGAATTTTTAGACCATCCCCTTCAGATTGCAAGGGTATTTTTTTTGTCCAGGATGGCTTTGAATCCTAAAAACCTTTGTCCAATGCCAATTAAATGTTTCACTTTTTGTAGCGCTAGGGTAAGTCAGACTGCCGAACGAGACTTGTGTTGTAAATTGTATTACTAACAGCCCCTCATGTCGCTTTCATGGACCTATCTGCATTTTGATTCAGGTAGCTATAAATTAAAATAATGTTTACTTCACGCGGGCTAGTATTTCATTCCACTGAACAACTTCCTTTGATACTTGTTAGTTACAAAATTTTGATAAGCATGAATAGTTCAATTTTCTCGCAGAATCCTGGCTTCGGATCTTGCGCGGAAATTCTCCGGGAGTTCCCACAAGCTCAAAGCACCTACTACTGGCTGAAGATCGGAGACAGAGATGCCCAAGTGTATTGTGATATGGGAAAGTACGGTACGTGTACAAGTAAATGCACATCAAAAATTTAATATCAGCAATACCTTAATACCAACCTACCTGANCAAAAATTAAAATCAAAAACTAAACATTTCGTCTCTTTCAAGAACCATCTTTGATTTTTGTAGTGCATGGTTGCACTGAACATTTAGATACTGGACGCGGTTCGTGAGGAATTTTTAGACCATCCCCTTCAGATTGCAAGGGTATTTTTTTTGTCCAGGATGGCTTTGAATCCTAAAAACCTTTGTCCAATGCCAATTAAATGTTTCACTTTTTGTAGCGCTAGGGTAAGTCAGACTGCCGAACGAGACTTGTGTTGTAAATTGTATTACTAACAGCCCCTCATGTCGCTTTCATGGACCTATCTGCATTTTGATTCAGGTAGCTATAAATTAAAATAATGTTTACTTCACGCGGGCTAGTATTTCATTCCACTGAACAACTTCCTTTGATACTTGTTAGTTACAAAATTTTGATAAGCATGAATAGTTCAATTTTCTCGCAGAATCCTGGCTTCGGATCTTGCGCGGAAATTCTCCGGGAGTTCCCACAAGCTCAAAGCACCTACTACTGGCTGAAGATCGGAGACAGAGATGCCCAAGTGTATTGTGATATGGGAAAGTACGGTACGTGTACAAGTAAATGCACATCAAAAATTTAATATCAGCAATACCTTAATACCAACCTACCTGACTTACAGATAATTTCGAGACGGCTGACTCTAATTAGCCTGCTCAGAGCTAGACTCAAAATTTTCTTTTCGTCTGTGGGCAGGCTAGACTCTAACAACGAAAACTTCGAAGTGTGGCAGGACCTAATTGTTGCTGTCATAATTAATCACATTTTTAGTTATAATCAATAATTTGCGCAAAGATAAACGTCTTTTTCACTAGAGCAATACGAATCAAGCAGACTCTTGTTCACTTACCTTCACTTTAACTCTTATACCCATTACCTGAAGAAAAACTTCTGTTTTGTAACCGATAAAGAAATGTTCCTTTTCTTACTTCAGTTTTTGTTGTTGTTCAGTTGTTGATGTTTGCTTGGCTGTTTGTTCGTTCGTTAATTAATTTACTTTTCTTGTCCCAATTTATCTTTCCCGGGTAATCTAGGGGGTGGATGGTCATTGGTTGCAAGCATTAGCTCAACAAATCATCATCATTTACAAAGGATTGAAAACTACTGCTTCAACTCAGTACTCTGTGTTCCTTTTAATGAAACCATCATCAAGGCGAGGAAATTAAGTGACCAGGAAATTCATAAACTAGCTCAGATCGAGGGTATGGGTGATTTTTTAATTCTTTAACTTGTTCTTACCTTGTGTGGTCACTGGTGTACAATCGATTACAAAACGTCGCATGAATAGTATAGACCATAAAAAATAATGCATTTGCATAATTAGATTGAATACACACTGACGACGTAAGCATGAAAGCGAGGCCTGAGGGCCACATCACAATTAGATTGTTTAAAGTGGCAACAGAGCACCCAACAACTACGACAAAAAATAGTTCTCACAAATGATGCGCAGCTACGCTTTGTAATAATCGTTCCGATAATAGGGTCATTTATTTCCAAACGATCTTTGCCGAAGGTTAGTTTCTTCACTGTCCACTTTCCAACGCACGTTCATTTACTGTAACCGCTCCAGGAATATCTCTTGGGGTTAATTATAAATCTCTAAATCACAAATTGTTCTTGTTTTCTCCGCTCTATCTACTTTTTTTCTAAGTTTGCGGCAAATATGGTGGCCATAAGGCCTCGCTTTCATGCTTATGTCATAAGTGGTTATATTACACGCTAATAAAATCTTTTGAGGGAGAGCGATGTGTTTCTTCGGTCTTGATGGCGCTGAGACCAGATGGAAAATAGCTAAGTACAGTATTCTTGTTTTAATTAACATTTGGCTGATATTTTTTGAACAAATTAATGTGCAAAAATTCTGTACTTATTTCTGCATAAACGAAAAACGATGACATGCGTAATGACCCTTAATTTTAATGTCTTGTAACCGTCGTCACTAGATCACTAAATTTTAATAAATCTGTCCAAGGAATAATGAGCACTCACAGAAAGATTAATTCTGGTACAAAATTACAATGTATGTTGAAAAACTCAAACAAAAAACAAACAATAAAAAAAGGAATATCTTTGGGGGACTATCGCTCCACCCCCAACCACCCCGTAAGGTTCTATGCATCAGTATAATTCATTTCCTGATTAGTATTTGTATATTATGGCACAGTATTATCTGCATAATAACCTTTCATACATAACCACTATTGCACCAGGTTCTTTCCGAGTTGATGTCTTGGGGCCTGGAAACAAAGTTAACCATACCCTATTCTATCAGGTTAGTGCCTAAGGTCACGAGATTTATGAGGGTTATTGGCCTGAGTCGAGGGGTTGATATTATAACATACAACCACAAACTAGGGGCCCAAATAACTGACAGCGGCAGTAATGTCGAGTAATTCTGAGTCACAATCTGCTATTACACCATCAAACCGACCTATTTTGTCAACATATCTCAAATGGTCAAAGGTGAACTCCGTTGATATACTCCACCTTGCCTAGTCTCTCGGCCTCATTATTCCGTGAGGCCAAAGCGTTTAGCGGGTCACTTGGTCCAAGCGAAAATGTGAGGCCTAGACAAAAAACTCAAAAGTGAGACAAAAGTGAGACAGCTGAATGGCGGTGTTTACTTGCCTGGTCCCTAGGCCTCGTCGGGTGTTGAGCTGTCAAAATCTGATTAATCAGATCTTACAGGAAATACGACAACGAATGTAAATAAACACCCTCTGAGCATTTTCCCGCCAGCCCGCATCCCAGGGAGAGCTTGCTCGCATGTTATTCAAAAGAATCTTGTGCCCAATCATTTTATTTTCTGATTTTAAGATTCCAAGTGGACGAGAAAAATTCAACTCCTCATGTAGCGGTAAACTGTAAGTGCAACTTATCATTTTTAGTTTTTTTTTTTCTGGTGGAAAAAGATTTATGCGAGAAAAATGAAGCTGCCTTATTACTTTGAAGAGTGCGGGCAACGTTATTAGGACTGATCGTTCATCTACACGTAGTTTGGAACCATTCATTAAGCTTTTTATGACTTATTTACAAGGCGAGTTTTGTTTCGCAATATTTCCAACCTTCCTTTACTTTCTCGCCCACATTTCCCCTAAAACGGATGCAATCTAGACGGCGAAAACAATTTCGTGTTAATGTGACAATCGAGAAGACAGCGTTAAAGGCCACTAAATGACCATAATTTCTGAACCAGACTTTATATTTGAAAATTTTGTCGCAGAAAACAGAGCTATCTTTTTACAAATAACTTTTATTAAGTTTCTATGATCACCATCACCATCAGCATCATCTTCTTCTTCTTCTTCTTCTTCTTCTTCTTCTTCTTCTTCCTCTTCTTGATCATCATCATCATCATCATCTTCACCTTCGCCTTCACCTTCATCTTTATCTTCATCTTCATTTTCATTTTCATCTCATTAGCCTGCTTTATTTCTTGCAGATGTCCACGTATGATCATTTCTTGCATCTATCCATATCAATGGGAGACAAACAATTGTACCAGTATCAATCAGGGATATCAAATCGCTGATGGAGAATGTTACAGAGGTCAGAACATGTACAGTGTGGGAATTTATTTATTTATAAATTCTTTTTTTATCCAACATTTAACAAACGAAAATTTACATATTGCTCTACCGGTATATGGCAGAGCAAACGTAGGTGGCCTTGTTCAAAACAGGTTCCTTGTAAGGTCTTCCTTGTAATAATCGTCCAGTTTCCAGTTTCAAATTGTGTTAACCCTTTTTTTTTCTTTCAGTGTTTGATGGCCATGATAACCGAGAGTGTAATGGTTCTTTTTGGACATCATCTTGTTATTGTAAGCAACGAACAATTCAATCATGCAAATCTTCTGGCTCCATAACATAAAGCTAACGTCGAACGTTCATCTCAATCAAACACGGACTTTGTTTGAAGTCCTAACTTCAACAAATACGTCTGTCGTTACGTCTTCGGCAAAGGGCTTCTTATGTATGGTCTACTGCTTTTTACCCATTTATCATTGATATTTATATTCTTACGTATATGGTCTACTGCTTTTCGCCCATTTTATATAACGGAGCCTCCATGCGCGCTTCGAGCGCGCGATCGTAGCTCCATACCTAAGAGAAAATGGAAAAATACCGTCGTCCTTCGGCCTCATGGGTTGTTGATTCAGAGCCCATTCGGGCTCGAGGAATAATTGTTAAATATTATGTTTATTCGGAACAAATTCATTCAAGGTGATGGGAATATTTGCCAGGAAATTTCGTAACGGCTGTTTTCACACCAGCGGATAATCCATCTTTAAAATCCGTAAAAATTGATGGAAGAACAGATGGATAAAGTCAGGTGGATGGTCCATCCAAAATTAAGACCGTTCTATTTTCAAATTAAGACGTACTATCTATCTGACCCGAATTATCCAATGGATAACCCGTTTCAGACGGATAATCCGTCTCTAGTGTGAATACGGTCAATGAGTCGAAATTATCGGCATATCAGCTTTTCGTCATGTTGTACTAGTACTAGTTAACTAATTTATTTCCATTTATCGTTAATATAATCCTAAACATAATAACGATAATGATGATGATGATTATAGTTATAATAGTAATGTTACGCTAATAATTTTATAAAAGTATCCTTTGGTATTTTGGCCCGCACAGGTACAAGTTTTGTCTATTTCTTTTGCTAGATTCCAAACGTGCGTTATATGGCTTTACCTGTAACAGTCCTCCGTGGCATGACAATGGTGGAATATTTTACAGAAACGATGGGATGCTATACGTGAAGTGAAACCGGTCGAGTTGGAAAGAATCCTTCGATTTCCCGTCTTTGCAAGAAGAATTCTGGTTTTTCACTTACTCCATGACAGCATATGCCACAGTTAAACAAATAAAATGAAAACGGAGATTTTTCATATCAATTTTGATTTAAAAAAATCACGAAATTCATGGGTCATACATAGGTCTTCATAGGCTAGACAAAGGTAATAGGCTAGGCGAAAAGGAAGTCGTCGAATTGCATTTAGCTGCGCTAGGTAACGTTACACTATGACGGAAACCAATAACCAATAAAAATAAATATAATGTGTTTCGTACAATAGCAATTGATTAAGAAATAACAAAAGCTAAAGCTAAGGTGACTTTAAGGAGGACAACACTGACCAACATTGAGTACTACTTCGCAAAAGGAAGACAGGTCAAGCGATTCATCACAACAATAAACCTCAAGGAGAAGACAAGACGAAGAAGAAGAAGAAGAAGAAGAAGAAGAAGAAGAAGAAGAAGAAGAAGAAGAAGAAGAAGAAGAAGAAGAAGAAGAAGAAGAAGAAGTTGTACATTTATTTATTTATTTATTTAGTTATTTTTTAAGACATAATTCATCTTACGAGTTGGCGTTCATACAGCCAAGTTTTGTATGTATAATGTAACAAAACAGTTCAAGGCATTACGTGTTAAATCATGGCCACACTTACCCTAGCAAAGTGAAAGACCTTTTGCAAACCGGATGTTAGTTACCAGCAGTATTGTAACACGTGATTGTCACAACAGATTGAGGCCGCATTGCACATCTGTTGCATCAGCCCACATCATGGCGAAGTGAGTGGATGAAGGCTTTTGTTGGAATTAAAACTAATTTGTCGTATCCACGGACGAACTATGGCCACTCTCAGAACAAAATTGAGGGTCTGGATCAATAAGCAACGTGACAGTTCGTAAAAGATACATCACGTCTTAAGTCCGTGCTTCTCTAAAATACAGAAGAGCTTTCTACGCCTAATGGTGACAACTTGAAATGAAATTGTTCGAGGGAATTTAGAAACGTTAACGCATTTGCACTATCTTAACTTTTAAAACGAGCGAGGAGAAGTGTAAGTAAAGTAATGATACACCGAGTGTGTTCTTTGCATGTAAAAGGTTAAAGTTGAAGTATTGTGTTACAATGTTGAAATTATTCAGGTTCTGCTCTAGTTTACAGTGCTGTAAAGAATAAAATATGTCTCTACGCATAAAGCTATTCTAACTTGTAAATGACATTTACAGGCCATTAGGCTTCCTGGGACCGGGGCGAGGTTCTAGAGGCCCCCCTCTATAAATTTAAAACCACTTATGATACTACCACTAAATTTACACAAAATAATGCGCTAATCCTTTTCAACATGCTGTAATAATTTCTTTAACTATTAAATTTTTATGAGGACAAGTTGCAAAATTTAAAGGTCATAGCCTGAGAGGCTGATCAGAAGGCGTATTGAACATAAAAGTTTTGAGGAATGCCTCAAAAGCCTTTCCCTGGTGTCAACAGGGTTGTTGATTCACATTTTAAAGTTGAAGAGCAAGCAGGATTTCCAGTAGAGTCAAGGTGGATTTACTTTTATTTATCCCATTGACACTCACGGACTTGGGCTGCATCACCCTGCTAGCAGCAGAACCTTTCTTCCGCTTGCTCGAATAAAAGACAAAAAGGCGCTTTGCATGCTCGCAGTGTGAGGCTGCATTTGTTCAGCATTATCTTCTCTGGTGTACCTGCCACTTTATGTTTTTTTTCTCTATGTTCAACACAGCCTGTTCTCAGTTCAATCAAACAGCTGTAGAATTAGATAGATTTTTGCTTTATTGGCCAGAGCAGGAGAAGGTGTTACCGCAGAATTTCCTTTCCTTTTCCGCCGTATGTGTGAAATGAAATATCGCTAATCAAAAACTTCAAAATTGCTCTCGGGCATAAAAAAGGTTTCGGGCCCGAGTCAGACTCATTTTAGCCCGAGCCGCTAGGGGAGGGTTAAAATAAGTTCTCTATTACTATTATTATCACTTTAAAGGGCATTGATCGGCAATATAGCCTGCGTCGCAGACGTAATTTAACCGCGGTTAGTAACCGAATTTTAGTTTTGGCACAGGCTAAGATTTAGCCTGGTTTTCATATGTCGGGAAAATCCCAGACGATCGGGGATTTTACTTTTTGCCGACCATCCCAGATTTAGCCGATATATCGGATAATCGCCAGAGGTCTGTCCCATATTCTCGAGAGATGCTATGTTTATTTGTGATAGGGGGACTGGAGCTCAGCAAACTAGGGGGCTGGTAATGAGCAAAATCCATCGCCGACGTCCCCGACGGTGCAATTTTGAGTTTTCATTTGTCGGGAATGATCGCCGACCATCGCAGAAACCTGGGACGCGGTATAATTAGTTCAACTGAATACGTTTGGCTGGAAGCCGTAAAACTTGCAAGCACTTCGTCGCCGACTATAGAGCTACTACAGGCGTTATTACATCAGAAGCTTCTCTAACCTTTGTAGATCCTCCTTCTCTAGTTAAGGAGATTAAGGAATTACAAATTGTTTGCTGTTTTCGTTGTCTTTTCAGCCATGATTTGAGCTTTGAAAATGGCTTCGAGATTTCTTTGACAAACTATACAAGAACACGTCGGTGCAAACATTGCAATGGCTTCTCGATTTTTATTGGCTGGTTATATCGAATGAATGTCTAATTTGATCCAATCTTTTTATTGGTTTATTTCTGCACTTTAGCCCGAAAAATGCGCCACAATGCCGGACAGAGTGACGATAATGAGCCATAATTGTCGAAAATTTAAAAGCGAATTTCTCCGGAACAATTCGGTATAAGGGGCCCAAATTAATTTTCAGCGATAATTACTGCTATCGCAATACTCGTTCACAGTTTTCAGAAATCGCATCAGAGAAGCATAAAATAATGAGGCCAAAAAAAGCTTATTACGATTCACCTGACAAATGAAACCTTTGGATGTTTGAACGGCTCCCCTTAACCAGGTCATCAAAAATGGAGTGATTTCGCTGACTAGCGTTTTACAATGCCCAATAATGGGTGCGGTTACACGGACTTTCCTGTGTTAAACATCCATGGATACGTAATTAAGAAAGAACAAAGAAAGCGCCTATGACATTTAACGTGGTAATTAGCAAGGGTTTTTTGCTGCCACGCTAAGAAGGCCAATCACGAAGCTGCAGTTGTTAAAGAATTTTGTTTATCATCAAGCGGATCGCTTTCTTTCCAACAACACCAGAAGAACAACATGTGGCGATCTCCTTTGCTTACACACCAGATCATTTGAGCAAACATTTGCCGAAAAATTCTAATTTGGCCTAATTGCAGGGAAAATTAGAATTTGCCGGCGCTTGTTTACTTGGTTCTGAAATTTGAGAAATTCAGCCTGGACCATCTGAGTTATTAAAAAAAAAAACCCGCTTGATCTGAAAGTCTTTTAAGTGTTTCCCGTGAAAATAATTGCGTGAAAACGGAAATCAGCCGTGGTAAATAAATTTACGTGTAACGCAAGTCACCTTGGTAAGGTTTATCAGCGTAAAAATCTACCTCAGTTGGCAATTTTACCACGGGAAAGACCTTTTACCATGGTGTGTGTGACTAACCGCACCCAATGTGGAAACATTAATCTGGGCTTCATGTGGCTTATTTAACATAAAGCATTCCGTTTTTCTTGTTATAAATCCCTTTGTTGCCATGAACTGTGGAGCCATATAATCCACGCCGGCTTCCTGAGTATGAATTAACCAAATACAATTAGAAATTTATTTACACCCTTCTAGCTCATAGGGACAAAAAGAGGTGAAAATAAATTACTACACGATTGAGTGAAAAAAGGTGGACGATGAAGCAGAAAAAGTGTGGTTGGAGGAAAAGTTTCATTGGAGCCAAGTTAAGCTAGCCTGCGTGGCAGGCGAAAAAAGGGGAGGGAGTGGGGGGAGGGAGAAATCCTCCTCCTTTTTCCTCCCTATCCCCTACCCCTTTTGACGCCTGCTTCGCAGGCTAATTTAAGCAGACCCCCGTGAATTTGCTGTTCGTAAAACTTTAGCCATTAGTGGTCATCAAAATCTGACTTCAGGAGTCATTCCTTCATTTTTTCCAAGAGAGGATAAATGAACAATATAAACAGTATATTTACACAGCTATCGATTTTTTTTCAACTTGATATAAATGTCTACATACGAATTATACAAAGTGGGAAAAGTTGGGAAAGATTTTTTACCCTGGCCGAACAGTAATAAACAAGCCGTAGCCACTGTTTATGTAACATGGAGAAAGGTAGCTGCCAATATGTAATATTACTTTTACAGAAACTGCAACGACATGAAGATGAGATGAACACAGTGGAATGGTGGTTGCGACGTGGACAACTAGTCAGGTCCTGAAGGAATTGTTTAATTATTCATCTCCCTGTACAGATTAAGGTAGAACATCGGCTAAAAAAACTCATAAATGAAACAGTCGTGGACGACTGTAGCTAATTTTAACGATCGATAAACTGAGGCTCGTTGGTATGGAAAAACGTTTGGAGTCTTGGGGTGCGGCTTAAGGTTACAAGAGCCACAATGGCTACTATCTTGAATTTAGCTTTTAAATCTATGGAAAATCTCTACTATTTTCATTCTTTTTCTTTTTTGAAAGTGATAAAGTGCAAGTAGTTTCTCATTTTACAGACTTTTTTACTCTCACTAAATTCGCCGAAATCTAGTGAGTCAAATAAGAAAGGAAAAAACCTAAGGTGCTTTAACTTACCATACAAAGAAGATTGAAATCTTGTACCGCACTCCTCGTCGTCATGACCATCAAAAACTTAAAAAAGACAAAAAATATAAAAACTTGGAAACAAATAAATTGTCACTTTTAAGTCAGCAAAAAAAAATTCTCAAAACATTTTCAATGCTTGCTAACGGTCTAGATCTTGGTTAGCTACCAAAGTTCAAAACCTTTCTTGCTTGTCGTGCAACATTATGGAAATAAAGAAGAATCACGAGCAGCGATAAACATTGACTGCGAACACTGCATGGATCCTTGAACAGCCATTCCCTGATCCAAGTCCTTTTGTGACGTACGGACTTGACGTCTCCTATTTTTATTTCAAAAAAAGTTATGTAGAGGAGACGGGGTTATGAAAGGCGGTAAACATAAAAGAAAAAGAAAAGACAACTGCAGTTTGGAAGCTGACGGTACACAATCCTTTGTTTTCTGTTGGCAAAATGTGATGGAATAAATTAATGGGACGTTTTTATTGGTCAATAATATCGAAATATTAGGAATGCTATTAAACGTTGTGCACCGTCAGGTGTACAAAAACATAAAAAAAAGATTCTGACGGTTTCATAACCATTCGGCACCTCTATTAACTATGTTTCAAATAAATGCTACGATAAGCCTTGAAAATTAGAGTGCAAGACAATAATATGTACACAAAGGGGAATAAACAAAGGTGAAAAACTAACAAAACGAAAAGAGGGTTGAGTATCTATTAACCATAATAATAATAATGGAAACTTTATTTGTGTTTTTGAGTGTACAATTGTAAATCTCGCTACCTACCTACCTACATTTTATAAATGCTGCTTGAGATTGAATTATTAAAAAAAAAGAGAGAGAGAAAGAAAAAAAAAGAAAATCAAAATTGCATTAAGTCTGGGCTATCTCAATTCCTATTTCTACAACAAAAGATGTAATATGTTGCTCTAATGGCTATATTTATCATTTTCTTGATTATACAAAGTTGCTACTTTTTGTCAATGACAATGTCATTCATCATGTCTAAGAACGTGGAGCATTCGTCGGAGAAAACGCCAAGGGAGCTCATGGAGAGATTTGCAAATTTCACACATCTGTTAAATTTCTACTCATTTCTTTGATCAAGTTCAGATATTTTTCTTTACGCACTGCATTGTTGTTAATAATAATGATAATTATTATTTTAATAATAATAATAATAAGTTATTTATATGGCGCTATTTCTTCTAGATAACCAATGACGCTTAACAAGGTTATTAAAAAAAGGTGACAAAAATCTAAAAAGTTACTTAAGTATATAAAACTACATAAGAAAAAACATAAGAAAAATCTAAAGGGAACGGCTAAATTAAAAGGGTCTTCACTCTATTCTTAAAAGAACTCAAGCATACCTCGATGATATATACTCCTCCCAATGTGATATCCCACATCAAGGCTAGTGCAGGTATTTGTCTCCCATTTGTAAGGATAATGATTTGAGATGATTATGCGGGGACATCTAGGGTACAAACTAAACAAATAAAAGAATATTCGGTCTGAGGAAAGAGGATGGCTTCTAAGGGCTGGCTGGTTATATCAATTATTTATAATGAAATAATTTTCGTAATAATATTTATATTGCAGTCATAGAGAATACTTCATGGAAAGTGCTGGCGTACGGTATTTACGCACGAGTTGTTGACGTATCAGAAATCGAACGAGTGAGCGCAGCGAACGAGTAAGATTTCTGATACAAAAACAACGAGTGCGTAAATACCGTACAAAGCACTTTTCATGTGGCATTGAGTTTATTTTATACATACTGAGACATTCATCATTTTGGTGGCCTTTTTATATTAAATCTTTCAAAAATGCTAAAATTTCCCGCTACACACTTACCGCAAAATAACAACGAAAACGAAGTTCAGCTTTTTAGTAAAAACGTTTGTTAAAAACATAAATGAAGGTAAGGATATGAGGTAATCCAGGAACTATAAGTAATCTTAACTGTTTGTTCTCAATGCACAATTGAAAATGAGTGAATTTAAGTAAAATGGCCGGTTTCAATATAAGCTTAAGCTTCAATATAAGCTTAAGCTTAAATGAAAGGCAACGTAGCTCCGACAAAAAGCACAACAAAAACTTACGTCTCGTTCTGTTTTTCCCTTTCCGCTGTTGTTTCGCCGGCTCTCTACCGTTTTCTTTATCAACAGTGAAACAAACGAAACTATTCCACTCCATTTCCGAAATGTTTTTCACTTTTTTAGCGAGAAAACTTTTGAGTAAAACTTTTCTCGTTGAATGTGTGCGAAGCGGCGCTGCAAGCTGCAATAAAAGGCGGGAATTTTGGCGCGAAACTCACACACCTCTGTGGCTTTTGATTGGACGTATCATTTTTCTCACACGTGAAAAAACATCATTCGCGATTCTGATTGGACGCATCATTTTTTTCACGTGTGAAAACAACCGTTCGCTCCTCTGATTTGCTAGAACTAATTTGCGTACGAAAATTTACGACATAGCTTTTTGGTGAGTATTTCTCAGTATGTATATAATAAATCTGCTTATCTATTCTTGAACACATAAATTAAATTAAGGATGCGCCCCTCGTAAAAGGGATCAGCTCTCGCTAAGCGCTCGGCCATTATCTTTAAGAAGGCTTGGGAGCTCAGGCATTATCCTATATCAAGAGCCAAAGTATCTCAGAAACGTCTGATAACCCAAACGAGCCGGTTACCCTGTATTGATTCGGAACGTTTCAAAGTAAGTTTTATACAGTGCTACACCGTCGTGTATTACGAAAATATATAGTAATAAAATGCCTTGTCAAATCTTCAGTTGATGAAACATTGTGCTTCTGGTATATTGTACTTTAAGTATCTTTTAGATTTTTAGACCTTATAGTTTTTAAATAACGGTATGTATTTTTACTTGTATCTTTAATAAAACAATTAAAATATTAGGCTGTACTTAATTAGCAACAGGTATGTGACTTGTTGTGTGTTCATGGCAAGCAGTATGTCATTTATCTACCCTAACACGTTAAGTCAATCAATCATCATAAGTTAAAAAAAATTATGAAACTATAATCAATGGTTATGAAATGAGAAAAGCTTACTCTTGATCGGTTTCACCGCGACAAGCGGAATTAAAATTCTCTGCTCCCTGAGGAATCTAGGAAATTTAAGAGACGCTTACTGGTTACAAACATTGTTTATGTTATTCAAATTTGTAAAGAGTTTCTTTCAAGAACCAATGCGGTTCTGGTTGGCACATAAACATCTATAGGTGACGTCGGTGTCGTCTCCATTTTCAAAGGTAGCAAAGTGAGGAGGATATTTAGTCTATAATGCACTCGTTAAATGGGTATCTAGGTATTACTTGAGGTTATAGTACCGTGTTATAATTATATATATTTTCACTTGTCTTCTTCTTCTCAAGAATTCCTATGTTTAATAGTTAGTTGTAAATATATAGATGCAGTTTCCAGTCTCGCCTACTTTAGCGGCGAAACTAAAAAAATTCAAGTGTTTTTTTTTTTTAATTTTCTTTTTTTTTCCGTCTGTGGGAGCCCCAAAAGGAGGGTCATAATCCCAGGCGTCTGTAGCGGACACCATGGAAACAGAGGATAAGTATAGCCATGCAGGGAAGATTGATGCGAAAGATGTAGAGCTTTACCGAACGGGTTGGACTCCGAATTCTATTATTTTGAAACAAGTGAATGCTCGATCAGTCCCTGGAAAAAAGAAGAAAACAATTTCGATGGTGAGGCTATGTAAATTTTCATTTCATGGAATTTTGTCTCGTGATGATCATGCGGTTTATTTTCGGCGATGATTGAAATGACACGCTTTGTTGATCTCGTTTCGCCGAAAACAGTGAAAACGATTTAAAAAGATTACTCGACCGTCGATAAAAAAAGGGCATAAAAAACTTATAGCAAGGAAATCCTGTTTCGTGTAGGAAGCCACGTTGTTGCAAGGCGAAGAGTTAGAAGGCAAGTGAATTTAAATTCCCGTGAATTGAGGAATGTTTTATGGCAGATTTAATAGATCATAGTTAATGTCATAGATTTTCGCAGTTGTTAAGATGTTATCAGGGTCGCATTGCACTTTGTAAGTACTTGAGATTTCAATTACTTAACCTTAACCTTACGTTTGTGTCACGGATCCGTTACGGGTAGCTTTGCGGTTAGTATAAAACGCGGACTGCGAACTTGGGACCACGGACTGAACTGGGTATACAACACGGACTAACTATAAAATGTGGACTATATAGAAACTACGGACTGAGTATAAACACGGACTAGGTATAAAACGCGGACTACGGACTGTGTATATAAAAACAGCTTTAGAAAGGTAAAACTGAGAGAAACGGATAGCGGACTAGCATAAAGCAGTAGCCCCAGCTCCTTGCCTTACACACAAACATTCCTTTAGCTGGTCACGCAGTCTATTCTCCCTAACGTCAGCGTGGAGAAGGATAGCATACTGTAGGGGCAAGGAAGGTTATGCCGCTACTCAAGGCAACTGAAAATGAAACCCTGAATTTTATAAAAAGGAGGAGTTAGAAGAGAATTCACTTTATAGAAGATATAAAATTGAGAGGCACCGAATTTAAAAAAAGAAAGATAGTATAGGTGTTAGAAAGAGTAAAATTCTTATAGATACACAATTCTATTTCAAAGCCTTGGAAATATCAGGAAATGAAGAAGAACCCAGCCGAGAAGATCAAAATAGTTTTCCAGTCAGTAAGATGGAAGGCAGGAGAGGTTTCTGACTATTGTATGTACCAAAGGCAGTCAATGGTTACTGTCTACAGGCTGGCTAGCTAGCTTTTTTTGTTCTCCTTCCCCACATGGTTCCTATGGCTTCCACGCCCGGACACAGACTCACTAAGAATTAATTAATTGCCTCCTTATTTCTTATCTTATCTCCAAGCGAGTTCGAGTCAACACTTTTACTGAGAGCGTCTTATTTCTTATCGTATCTCCAAGCAAGCGAAACTTACCCTTGTTAGAGCGTTCTTGGTTTTTTTTTTTTCAGATGAAAAGTGTTCACTTGCTAAAAATCAGCCTGATGGTGCAAATTGGTGAGGAGATAAAAGCAACTTTATGCTCCAATCACTCCATAATAAGGGCCTGCTTATAAGATGGAGGTGGAAGATCCCAGTTAGGTGAGGTAACCCGCTCAGATGGAGGGTAACCCGCCTGTCCATATAATTCTCTCATTTTAATTTGATCACCTTTATATGATAGGTGGGGTGACCATATAAGAAATTATATGGAAAAGAGGGTTACCTCACTTACCTGGGGTTCCCCACCTCCATGTAAACAGACCCTAAAATAGGCCTGGATCATAAGCCAAGGAGAAGGATTCGTATGGAGTCATCAGAACAAACTGGTGCTTATATCTACCCACCAACTTGCACTGACAAGCTGATTTTTTGTAAGGGGGCTTTTTTCATCTTGTTCTTTCTAAACACGATTACGAATCCTATAATTTCATAAATTTGAATCATCGTGACGTCTATTGTGTTATTTTTTAGCAGAAGAGAAAAGAAAACATTTACCTGGTAAAAGACGGAATAGTTCCCTTGAAAAACATCCAATCTAAATGTTCCTGTGTACGAAGTAACGACAACAAATTTTTGCAGCAACATGTGTTCACAAAAGTGAACGGGAGAATTAATCATAATCTGTTCATGTTGTCCTTCAGCAGCATAATTAAAAAATATAAAACTGTTCTAGTGAGGCCTTAAACTGCTGTTTAAAAAAGTAAAATCCAAAATCCAAGCTCTCGCCATTCAACCGCTTCATCAGGGATGAGAAAATATTCCGTGCGTGCTACATGAATGCAAAGGAGGTGTAGGGTGAAATGTGTAGAAGATGGGACGTATGTATGAAAGTTATAGAAATAAACTGTTAATGGAATACAACGCTCTAATGATCTAATGTCTCTAGACAAAGGCCTTCTAAAAGTACTTAATAATAGTCTCTGAAATACTAAAACAGAAGGTCTGCGAATTCACTACATTCCTCCCGGGAATTGAATGTAGGCTTGCACTTTCTAATAAAAAAGGCTTCATAAAGGCGTAGATTAGCGGTGTCGTTTTCGCTCATAATAATCTTGACCTCAATGTCTCTATAGTTTTTGTTCTGGCAGGAATACATATGTTTTTTCACAGAGGAGTATTCATTATTGAGATGTTCTTTTACACGGTCGTGGATGAAGCGTCTCGTGCTACCAATGTATTGGTGATAGCAGCTGTTACAAGTGAGCTGGCCATGGGACACTGCATTTCCTCATAAACACTATCCGGCGTTAGAGATAGGGCAGTTTAAGGCCTCACTAGAACTGTCAGTTTTATATTTTTTCGAATTAATCATGTTCGCGGTCAGCGTTATATTTTACCTAGTTTCCTATAGTGTGCGGCTATTTAAATTTTATGACAAGAACAGAATGCTTTTAAATCAGTAGTAACTGAGGACACAAAGTGAACAAAGTTGGGCATCTTGAGTAGTACCTTCGCAGTTTGCCAAGTGGTGTATATGCTCATCGCTTAGTTTTCGAGTCGTCATGCTTTGTTTGTCGAAAGGTACGCACAGTTCCAAATCGAAGCAGTTTACGACAGCTCTTTGAAGGTGTTGATTGTTTGTAGAGCTTATGCTGACCACTAATGTCCATCCACCACCTGCATTGTATATAAAAATGCGGAAAATTATTTGGAGCTCTAAATCTTTCTTTACTGGTATCTTCCCTGTGATGAGTAAGCAGCAGCATTGTGACCGTGGCTCGTATTTTATCCCCAAGGGATTAGTCATTATGAGAACATAAAATTTCTGCAAGGAGAGCCCCCTTCTTAATCCTGAAAAGTTGTGTGGCCCCTCGTGGACCATTAAAGTGACATGCACATCTGCCGAGGTGGAAATGCCAGTGCAGGCTGCGCTGGATAGCGGATGGACTGATGCGGGGCTTTGGTCTTCACTAGAATGTAAAATAGCCTTATATTGTTGAAAAAGGACCACTCCTCTTAAGTTATTTAAACTAGTTAAAAACTGAATTAATACCTCTTTTCTCTTTTTGATTCTTAAAATTGACGAAAAGGATATTAATCTCTTCTGACACAAGCAAAAGGATTTCTTAGACATAAAGCAGAACTTATGGTAATCACTGATCAAAAAAAATTTCCTGGAATAAAGTTAATTCTAGGTATATTATGTAACACATATACACGTGTACCATAGTCTGCAAACACTGAAAAGTAGGTTGCAGAAGAAAAGAAAAAATAATGAAAAGATGTCAGTATTTCTTCCTCTCACTTTTCCGGTTTTTGCATATCTTATTGAAACTCCTTCTCGTGTACGATTTATTATAGGATTTGAAGACGTGAAAAAAAATTTTGCATACTCCAAGGAAAAATTCTGTAAAAATGTAAAAGAAGCAGAACTTTAAGTGAGTATTTTTTAAATGGGAAGCTCAGTTTGAAGTCAGTATAAAGTTACATAACGTTCACTTAAAATTATTTTCCTTTTTTTATCTTAATAATTTATATAATCCTGAAAAGTTACTGTCAGTAACTGCGTACCAAAAGTTTTCATGTCACAATACACCTGAACCTTGACTTGGCCAATATATATCCAGTAGTAACCGCTTGATGCTGAAGGATACGTCTGGTGAATTTCAGCGCACGATGATTGCTGTCAATGATTATCATTAAAAAGAAAGAAATTACAGNAAAGTTACATAACGTTCACTTAAAATTATTTTCCTTTTTTTATCTTAATAATTTATATAATCCTGAAAAGTTACTGTCAGTAACTGCGTACCAAAAGTTTTCATGTCACAATACACCTGAACCTTGACTTGGCCAATATATATCCAGTAGTAACCGCTTGATGCTGAAGGATACGTCTGGTGAATTTCAGCGCACGATGATTGCTGTCAATGATTATCATTAAAAAGAAAGAAATTACAGTAGAAAATTAAATGGAGCTAAAATATTCATTTATAAAGTAAAATATTTGATTCTGTTATCGTATTTTAATTTTGTCAAGCCTCTATAACCACCAAAGCTTTAGAAATGTTTATATTTGGTTTCTTAAGAACGTCTCCACCTCTTCTTAAAAATTGTGGTAGTAGGTGAAGGAAGAACGGAGGCAAAGCTTTGTTTGCTCATAGACGAACAGAGAATAGTAGTGACGTATACTTAAAAAAGGACTTGTTACAAAGAATTTGACTTACTCTTTTAATGGCCACCGATTGCACAAAGATATTTCCTTGCCGGTAAATAAGGTGTTTTGATCCACTGAGACTCTTGCTATTTAGCTCACACACACCAGAGTAGTTATCAAAATTAATTGATTCGCATTTTTGATGTTTCAGGCATGACTGAAAACAAGTTAAAATCCCTCTCGCCAACAGAGTTTGGATTTGAAAGCCTTCTAGCCTGTAATACTTTGTTTGTTTGCCATACATATGGTCTCGAAAACAGTTTCCGTCTGAGAACAGTAGAAGGCATAGTATAAGAAATGACATAAAAATTGTATCTTTCCGAATCATATTTTTTTTGTCGTCTTAAAAGTAATAAAAACTGTTAGGATGTCTTAAGCTTCGGTAAAAGCATCGGTAAGGTACACACCGCAACTGCATCTAACAACATGTACATCAAGAGGAAAGCCATGAAATATTAACAATCTGATACCAAGTTGTACCCTTTGAGCCCTTTTCTTCTGATTACTTTGATTAAAAACATTACATTGTCTTTTCCTTCGACTCACAAACAAACAAGGTCAACATCTGGATCATTCTGCCTCTCTTTGTCTGAGGAAAATGAAAACCATAAAACAATCATGATTAAAGTGATAGAAGCACTATCATTTAACAATTTCAATAACGAAACTGTAAGTTTGGGTGACTCTAAAAATTTTAAAACTGTTTAAAGACAAGTAAAATTGTTTCTAGTGATACACATTTATAACTTTCCGTGGTGACTTTGGCTTATTACAATAAGAAAGTTAGCACAAGTTAGGTTATTGTTTAGGGTTATTTATTTACTTACTTATTTATTTATACATGCAGGAACATCTGGTTTCGCATAGAATGGAGGATGGTAATGTAAAAAGAAAGCAAATAAACAGATACAAAGAAAATCAATACAGAAAGTAGCACACTGATGAAATAACGTATCAAAGTCCGTTGCAAAGCTAGAGTTAAAGGAAAAGGAATTTTAGGCACGTGCACCATTGATCATAGATGTAAAACTGACCTGGTATTTGGTAGTTTTATTTTCTCTGAGATTTGTTTTTCTCTTCAATGCTTAAGGTTCTATTTCTTTCTCTCGGTTTAAGAAGACCTGCCGTTGTGCCGAGTATTTATGACAATGAAAAAGGAAATGAGTCTCAACACAACTTACTTTGATTCACATAATGGACATAATCTCTTTTCTCTGGTCACATGATGGACCCGATATCGACCGAGTTCAATCATAAGCTTGTGATTTCTTTTTCTAAATTTCACTAAATTTCGCTGTACGCGGACATCATTAAGGCCCTGGTGGTCTGGCTGATGAAAGTGCCGGTACACAGGTTCATCCCTAAGTTTGTTCTCCGCGGACAGCCTCCTATGTGCATTAAGTCGCGACTTATGGTTATTAAATCTAGTCCAGAACTTGGTAATTGTTGAACCTACGTACTGGATAGCACATCTAGCACACGACAAAAGATAAACTACATGATCAGAGTTACAATTAAGGTTAAAGTTTATTACAAAATTTTTATCAGTAACATTAATTTTAAAGTCCGTGCCATCACCAAGGAAATCACATACCCTACATCTCCTGTCCCCACACCTTACACAACCCCTAATATCCCCTAGTGTCTTATTAATAAGCTCGGAATGCACTAGCATAAATCTGTAACTGATAAAAACATCAATAGGTAACTCTCCTAGCTGAAAAGAAATTATTCAAAAAGGAATTCTTTAAGTTTCTTTTTGATAGTACACAGGCTGTCTGCAGCAGTGATCGCACGTGGCGATAAGTTCCAGAGTTTAATTGCTCTATATATAAAAGTTCGTTGACCTGCGGCGGATTGATAAGCTGGAATATTAAGATAGTCCTTATTTCTTGTGTTGCGATCATGAACAGTAGATCTTGTCACAAAGCGATCACTCAAGTAACTTGGTGCTAGTCCTTTGGCACACTTAAACACGAGAACGCCTACCGTATACATCAAATAATTATATATATATCTTATTACTATAGCAGCATCAAGACGCAATCTTCGATAATCATCATTCATTTGCTGGACCACACTGTAAGTATCTTTGACAGAAAATGAAAAATAGAGTTTTGAATCGTCAACGTTTGATTCCAGGGAACCAAATTTCGGGATGTTGGAAAGTTAATGTAGATGGTAAATAGCGCCGGACCTAGGATGGAACCCTGTGGTACAGAATGAAAAAAAGCACCCAGACTTAAGGCCTCAGCACCGATCCTGACGTATTGTTGACGTCCCGACAAATAGCTTCCAAACCATTCTAGAGCGGTACAACCAACCCCCAGTGTCTTTAATTTTGCTAGAAGGTACGATATTGTTCGCTTTTCTAAGGTGACCACTAAGTCTTTGGCCTCGGGAACAGCCTTTTAGGATCAAATTAATTATACAAGAGCAAAATTGAAGGTGAACTTTGACCCAGGCCAAGAATTTTTCTGGTGTGAAAACAGGGTCTATGCTAGTCTGCCGACCGTGTGACTGTACATCCGGGAACTTGAATAAGACGAGTGTAAGCGAAACGACTACTGAAGTGTTTATCTGCCAACAGGCTGAGTTTTTCCGAGTTATTTGATGATATTTCGCTTGTGTTAGACGTGAGAAGATTACGCGTGGTTGTGGATAATAACTAAGTGATTTATTTTTCAAACGGTAAGGTACAATAATCCTTCTTTTTCTCAGACTGTAACTGATATATGCAGTTTTTTTGTTTTGTTGTGGGGAAGGCGCTTCAGCTATACATAACTGTTTCTAGGTTTATAACAACACATAGTTATCTTTACTAATGTTGTTAGCCCCCACCAATTTTCAGTAGTACTTGTATCCTGAAGATCATTTATGTTTGATCTTCTGTGGACTTTCCCATCCTTCACCTGAAAAAGTGGGGCGTTGTTTGTCTCCTCGATGTCAATAAAAGGTATCAATTCGGTCACCACAGAAGGATCAAGAGCTTTGGTAGGGTTGTTGTACGCCTCGTACACTTGATCAACTGAAATCTGCACAGCTTTTACTACAATCCTAAGATTATCTCTGCTCTTTCCTTCGAGCAACATCCCATCACCATATGCAATCCATTTATCACCCCTCAGATTTGTCACACGCAGACCATATTTGTTGTCTTCGTCATGCATGTACTTACTAAGTAAATGGCCCTTTTTTCCAAGAATAGTCGCCCTTCCCAGCTCAAATCTTGGCGTCCTGCAAGCAGATATTTTTACGGATGTTAATCAGATTCTAAACAAAAACATCAAAAATTTATTACAATGAATTTAACTACAAGGAGTCAAAGTTTCGTAAAATAAACGAATATATTTACACTGCTATTTTTCTTTTTAAAACAATTCACATGTAATGTACGTATACTTTTCAATGTCAAAAGTATTTTTTTCAGTTACTTAAAATACAAACAATGGTATATGAAATTCAAAGAGCGTCACAAACTAGTACACTCAACTGTGTACTGTGGTGGGTTTTTCGATTCTTGTACCCATGGCTTTTCTTTAACTAAAACCTGCCTCTGACGTTGTAATCCTTTCACGTTGTAATTGCTAAGGGCTAAGAGGCCACATTTCAGTGTCTCAGTGAAAAGTTCAGGAAATCAAAGACTCGAAATAAAACAAAATGAAAATATAAGAACATGGCCTGACTGGATCATTACCTAATGTGGCCACTGGCAAAGCTGTCAGTAAGAAAATGGCACGCAAATGCTTCCGTTGAAAATGCTTCACGAAGGAGTTTCTTCCTCAATTCAGGATCTAGTGGATATTCACTGGCTTCTCGTGCTTTCTCTATTGCCAACTGATGACCCGTCAGGTATGCGTCTTTTGCGTAAGGAAGAAAATGGTCGTAATTATTTTCAGCCAGTTCTAACTTCCTTCCCTGTATGACTGGAATGCCGAGGAACCAGATACCACCAGTGATTTCGTCTGCTGTTTCTGCATCCAGGATTCTTTCTTTCCTAAAGAAAGCCAACAGCTTGTCAAGTTCCTTCTGTAATTCATCCTTTGGTGCCCTTGCAAGTGTGTCGTAGGCACCTCGAAAGCGCTGTTTTCGTAAAAAGTCTTCCTCTTCTTTTTTAAAGGGGTTAATAATTGGGTTTTCAGGCAATCCATAAAAGTCTCCAGCGAGGCCTATAATCTCCTCAAACTTAACTTCTACACCGTTTGGGAGTGTTATTTTCCTAAATTCATCTTTTAGGTGTATTTTTTCACCAATTTTTGGGTGTTCGATCGAGGAGTCAAATGAAACTACTTCTACGAAACGACGATTCGCAGTTAAATCCATTGTCTTTATAGTGAATCTATCCCTGGATTCGTAACTCAAATTCACCTCCAAAACAAATATTCTACTTCTACGAGTCGAATAAAAAACAAAAAAAAATTGTTTATACTTATCAACGCTATGTTTGTGGTCGAAACGCAGGTGCGTATATTCTTCTAACTGATCATGTGACCAATGAGTACAACAACAACTTAGTTACCGCACACCGTGAATTTAGGCACTATCAACACTTGACTAATGAAATGCCAAAAAAGGATTCAAATTGAAGAAGACAGCAAAACAGGAGGAGAAAAAAATATCGGTGAATGTGGAAAATCGATTCGGATAAGTTTATCTCAATCTGTCTGCTGTGTGTGGTTTATGATTTTTTGTTTGTTAAAGTTCACGATTTTGCAACTTCTACATTCTTTATGATAATAATTTATTTAGTTTTAGAATCTCGCATAGAGAATTCGAACCTCAAGTACATTTGTTGACTTGTTGTGAGTGTTGTAATATGGAAGGAATTTTATTGACTTTGTGAAATATTTGGACATGTAATTCTTTTCAGCTTCTACGTATGTATTGGTATTCACTTTGTTTAGAACCTTCGGTTGTAATATTAATATATAGATTTAGCCAAGGCTAAAAGCGAAGCTCTGGTTAATAATACCTGTAAAAAAAAATTAAATCGTGTAATGCTAAACGGGGAGGGCATCAAGATCAATAGATATAATTAGCAAAAAAACAAATTGCACGCTTTTTTTTTTCTAATTAGCAAAAAATAGCAAAAAAAAAAAAAA